GTAAATGTGTCTTGATTTAAGGATGTTTAGATATTTGTACTGCAAAACAAGACAGAAATGCTGTGGAAGATATGTATTTTTGCAGTGTGTGCTACATTTATGCATTGATTTAAGATCTTTTTAAGGCCTTAATCTGTGTAAGACTTTGACAGACCTGCAGAAACTGTAGATTAGCAAAAACAAACAAACAAAGCTTTAACTTCAGTTTACAGTGTGTGCTGCAGATCAGATCGTGCTTGTGCTCTTATGCGTCTGTGTTTGCGTGTGCGAGCAGGTCTGCGGACGATCGGTGTGATCACTAAACTCGATCTGATGGATGAAGGGACTGACGCTCGGGAAATCCTGGAGAACAAGCTGCTGCCGCTGCGCAGAGGTGAGGAGGTCATCTGATGTCAACATCTTTAACAACTAATACAGCTGTAATACATGCGCTTCATGCCCTGAAATGTGTCCCGATCCTATTTGCTCAACTCACACGCACTTTACAACAGTTTAGATTGCTTTATTTTATGCAGAAAAACTGGGCCAGACACATATTTTCCCCATTCATCAGAATAATTTTATTTAGAAATATCTTTAATTCATTGCTATGAAATTTATTATTATTATAAATATTATTTTTATTATATTATATTATTAAATATAATATTATTATTATTATATTTAATTTATAAGCATATTTAAAATTTATTTCAATTTAAATAAAAAAAAGCTTCTGATTAGATGTCCTAAAAAAAATTATATTCATATTTCAATAATTTAACAACACATTTGCATGTTCACGATTCTCTAATGTCGGATAATAGTAACATGATACTATTGAACTTCTATATGAACAAATAATTCATTTTTTAGCAAGTGTTTTATTTTTATTTTTTTATTATTTATTGTAAATTTTCCATATTTTTGATTTAATTATTAACTTTTCATCAACTTTCTAATACGAAGGCCCAAAAATCACTTGATTGAGAGCCGTGTGAAAAAATAAATACTGCATTATATCCAACTATATTTCATTAAAATATATTGCATTTAATTTTTTTAAATAGTTAAACAAAAATTTATTTAAAATATCAAACTCACTTGTTTTTTAAAAAAGAAAATATAAAACAAAAAAATATATATATATTAAAAAAAAAAAAAAATTCTATGCTTTTTAGGAAAATATAGAAACTATAACTACTAGTAGCTATGGTATTTTGGTGTAAAGTATACTTACTATGGTAAAGCAGGTAATGCTGGAGCGATCAAACATCACCTCTAGTGGAGTAACGTCTGTGTTTCTCACCGCTGCAGCCTGTGAGCGGAAAGACCGAATCAGAGGGGGAAAAACACAATGTCTTCATTTCATTGACACATCTGGAAAAAACGCTGTTTTCTTTCTTTGCTCAGCAATAAAGGATATTTATGGGAAAGTCTGGGCTGCATTGTGCTGACGTACCAGTTTTCCACTCACAGCTCACGTCCACACTTCAGGTTTTCCCATCAAGTGCGTCTTCACCTTCCCTCGTCGTGGTCTGCTCATGTAATACGGTCGACATCAAAACCACAAACATGCTTTAGAAAAATCCTGGCTTTCAGATGCATGAGGAACGAGAGATTTGAGAGTTTAACCTCTTAATCCAGACATGTTTCTTTTTTTTCACT